TCTATACAACAAAACACTCTGCTCTTTGCCTGTGCAAAGAAAACCCTTCTCAGCAACCAAGGTCAAACAGCAGCTCTCCTTGTCATAAGCAGGCAGCACTCAATCCCCATCCCTTTATCTCCAAGCTACACGTCCAAACAAATCATTGGAATTGTAAAACTTCTGATTTCATTTTGAATGCCTAAATGGAAAGCAAGTGGGGAAGGGGAGAAGTGAAGTTTCCCCAGCCCACACCACACTCATCCAGAGGATTGATTCTCAGTGTGCCAAGGTCACCAATGATGCCCTTCATGCAATCAGACACCTTACCACCAGTAATAGGCTCAGAGATGCCAAATGCAATTAAGAAGTTTATTTTCAAGTTCATCCAGAGCAAGAAATAGATTATTCCTTTTGAACTTCTACACTGCTACTGGAGTGAGTAAATCAGAGCCTGCTTCTCCATAGACAGCACAGAGTATCTCTGGCCAACAAGTTATAGCTACTTTTATTGGTAACAAAAGTAATGATAGTGTAAGTTGTTTATTTCTGCAGGTGTTTTATAATCATGAGTCTTTGAAAACTTTCTTCATGAGAGAATATTTTATGATTTTTTCATTTCATATGTTACCCAGCCATTCCAAGTCTTGGACAGGCCACAAACAAGAAAACATTAGTGGTCTGACTATTATTCACAGGTACACAAAGACTAGGAGATGGAACCCCCAGCTCAGCATTGTCCAAAAGAGAAAAAAAAAATTGAGATAATAACAATGATTCTGCAGCACCAACTGCAAACTCTTCCAGACTCCCTTCTTTGAGCTGGTTGGCCCACTCACTCTACTGTACTCACTTTGGCAGGTCAGGGTGGATATTTCCAGACAGGGAACCAAGGTCACAACCACATAGCTACTTGAGAGATCTTAACTCTTTCAGGTTCCTAGAGGTAACTCTAGGGTGGAAGAGGAGTGTATCTTCTCACTCCTATCACTTGTCATTATTGCTCCTGAGACTCACCAGTGTGTTCCCATTTATACAAAATATTGGTGTCACAAGGACACCACTGACTCTTAAACATGAAAAACTCTCTTGATACACAATGAACATTTAATAAACATTAACTGTTATAGAAGGGCTAAGGAGTATCCTCTCCATATGAGAATATAATTTCATTACTTTATCTCTTATGTGCTCTCATCTCTGTCCACCCTCCCACCATGCTCTTACCCCTAGGTTACATATAATACTAAGATCTGTGACTAGAAAAATCTTCACTTCTTTGCCTACTGCCATGGTCACTATAGTACAGAGGAGTGAGTTCTCAGTAGAAGTACATTTGCTGGAAAGAGATCATCTTTCCCAAAATGTCTGGGCCTAGAAAGCAAACACTCATTAGAACATACTCCCGGGACCCTATTTACCCTTAAGATGACATGCTTACGGTGCATCATAGGGACAACAGATAAGAGACTCTGGGAAGAAGAGGAAAAGCCAAGATGTGCACTTAAATTAGGTAAGAGCAAAAAACATTTGAAAGTATGGTGACATCATTCAAGAGCCCCTGCGTTTTATCATCTCCCTGAAACATGGAAAAAATACCATGGAGTAGAAAGATGAGCCAGAGTATTATAACCCCTACAGGCTTCAAGCAAGGATACCTTCACCTAAGGCTCTACTTTACTCTTGTTAGAGGAGCTCTAAAGAGCTCTCCATTTTCCAGGAATCATGAGCATCAGAAAAATTGTTTTCCTAGGCTGCTTTGTTGGGAATCAGAGATGAAGTTGAACTCATTTAGACTGAGCGTTGAAATATGTCCTTTTTTTCTCTATTTCTTCACAATTCTGTCCCAATTAAATATTTTACTATTTCAACATATGGTTCCTGACTATTCTGATAATAAAATGTAAGCTGAATTTAAATAACCTATAAATGTTCTCAGGAAACTGGGTTGGGGTTCAAGTCTAGTAAGATAAATAATAAAATATACCCACATTAAACCTTAATTCACCTGAGTCTAGAATATAAGGAAAAATAGATGGCATATCTGATAATTTATGCCTCGAATATCAACCGGAAAAGAGATTTGAATTTTTACATAGAAGTCCCCACAATAATGTCCACATAGCACAATTTACTGCACACTGACTGTATTATCAAGTGTTCTTCCTCAAATTAAACCTCACTAACCTCGCTCTTGGTGGTGTGGGACTTCCCAAAAACAAAAAGATTATTCTATATGTGATGTCCACTTCCATTAAACTAGCATTCCAAGGTGGGAAATTTTCATGAATGGGTTCAATCACTGGAGGTGTCCCATCTCATAGATTTATTATTGAATTGAAAGAGATAATCTAATCCAACTTCCTCACTTTACAGATGGGGTTACAGAGAGGTGTGCTGCTCAAGGCCACATAGTTAATAGCAGAGTCAGGACTAGAACCACATCCCTCATTCTGAGTTCATAGCTCTTTGTATTATATCATCCTCGGTACAATAAGGTTCAAATTTCTTAATCCTTTGTAGCCTGGTAAACAGTAGCCAGTTAGACAACAAGCCTTTATTAGGCAACTAGTTTGATTCTATTGGGGTTTGGGCAATTTAAATTAATTTTGCAAATAAGCATAAAAAAAAACCCAAACCCCAAAACAAAAACATCTTGACAGCCAACCCTTCTTCCTACTAATATAAGGTAAAATTAAAGCAAAATAGCCTTCTTTACCATTCACCCAGCTTAAAAGTTTGGCCACAGGGCTATGGGCAAATGGTTATTGATAAAGTGGCTGTCCCTGCCCATTCCAACTGCTTTTTATAACTTTGAGGATGCCACAGAAAAGGCAGGATAGCTAGTGAAAACTATAGCACTAGGCCTTTATTTGGAACATTTAAAATCACAGAAGGGAAAAAAAAAAGCTTACTGCTTAACCTGAGACATACAAGGGCATGCGGAGAGGAACACGGGAAAGAGGAAGCAAAAGTAAGCCTGGGTTGCAGTCCCCAAAGAGACAAGAATCCAACTAGCTCTCCAAAGGGACAGAATATGGCTGTCAAGAGAAGTGTCTGGATCTTCAGTGAAATGAGTTTATGCCACAGCAGGAGATGGAAATGCATCAATGACCCAACAAGAGATACCTGGTACCCAGGTCATGCCAAACTTTCTTCACTTTTCTGAGTTTGGTGCAGGTAAACTAGAGCTCTATCCCACACAATAGTGCTGCTCAGTCAAGAGGATACAGGTGAGATATTTTCTAGGAAGGGAGGGGCAACGTCTCTAACAGTCCATGTTTGATTGATATCCCAATGAAACCAATCCCAGTTGGTTTCCCTGAGATTTTGATGTCACAGAGAGGAAGGTACCTATTAGCAAGGTTGCTCTAGGCATAAAAGATCTCAGAAAGGGGTTGAGGAGAAATTGGCAGAAGGAAAGAGTTTCTAGGACAAACATAGCATTGCGAAAAAAAAAGGCACTAAGGCCCCAAAAGCTAGAGGTTTCTTGGAGAACAGCAGTGGTTTTATATTTACAAGTTTTTCTGAGTGATTTAAACTTTAAGTATGTTAGTCAGCCTAGAGTTCAAATGGTTCTATTACTAAACAGATTAATTAATTTTACTACAACAGATGGTGACTTTAATTCAAGGCTTCTCTCCAACATAGTAATGTACTATCTTTCATATACAAAAATGCTGCTGCCAACATAAAACATCAGTAGGGTATTATGAGCTTCTACAGCACATATTCTCTACAGTACTCCCTTTGGGACTTTTTCTGGAATTGCTATCCGTTTCGTGTGTGTACAACTTATAGAAACTATAACTTCTTGGAAGGCAAAGACCAGGTCCTATACATCTTTTGTATCTTTCAGAGTTCTAAGTACAGAGGAGGTGTTTGTTCAACGATTCCATTGTTCTTTCAGCATTGTTAACAGACATATCAAAACACCTACCCTCTCTCATCTAGTCCCTCTTGTGACTGGCCATGTCCATTTGCGAAACAATCGGCTGAGACCCTTCTTCTTCTTTACGTAGGCCCTTTGTACAGTCCATGCTTCCGTCACGTTCTACTTGATGTTGTTGTTATTCAGTCATTTCAGTCATGTCCAACTCTTCATGGCCCCATTGAGGGTTTTCTTGGCAAAGATACTGGAGTGGTTTGCCATTTCCTTTTCATTTTACAGAGGAGGAAACTGAGGCAAACAGGATTAAGTGACTTGCCCAGAGTCAGACGCCTAGTAAGTATCTGAGGCCATATTTGAATTTGAAAATGAGTCTTCCTGACTGGTACTAGTACTCTGTCCAATGTACCACCTAGCTGCCCTTACTTGACACTATCAAAATGAAAATCTACTTGACACTATCATATTTTTAATTGGTCTCACACTCTATTCTGCTCAATTGCTGCTATATTCTTATAATAAGGCATCATGGCACAGTAGATAGAACAGTAGACCTGGAGTCAGGAAGACCTGAATTCAAATGCTGCCTCAGATACTGGTTGAATATGTGATCCTGATCAAGGTATTTAATGTCTCTTAGCCTCAGTTTCTTCATCTGCAAAATGGAAACAATTATAGCACCTATCCTCACAAGATTGTTGTAAGGATCTACTGAGATCCACATATATAAAGTGACTTGGAAATTTTAAAGCACTATATAAATGTTAGTTATTATTATTCTTATCAAAGTTATTGTGTATTTATGTACTACTGCATATTTGCTCCTGTCTCACCTTGCCTGCTAGACTGAAAGCTCCAAGAGAGTAGGAACCATATCTTAATTATCTTTCTTTGAATCTCCCCCAATACCAAATAATGGTTTTCATGTAGTAGGTGCTGACTAAATGGTTGTCAAATGAATGGATAGCTATGAAATTGAGCAAATTAGAGCCTTAGCTCTAGCCATCTGAGCTACTTGCCCTGCCTAGAAAGAGTTTATGTACTAATGAGCTGATGAAACAATTTGGCAACTGGAGGGTGCCACTGCTCACCACAAGCAACAACTAGAAAATAATTAAAGAAGAAAAAATACCTCTTCATAGTTCCAGGGAGCTCCAGACTAAATGGGATCTGATAGGATAAGGCTAGCGTGTCATCCAAGGCCTTCCTGACCTCCTGCAGTTCTCCCAGGGGCACACAGCCCAGCAAGGAAGTCAGCTCACAGTCCTGAAACTGGATGAACCTTTCTTGCTCTTCTATATCCCGTCTTAATTGTTGATCTTTTGCTTCTAGCACAGACATCCTTGCTTGGAGGCCTTCGATTTCCTTCTGTAGGGGACAGGCAGAACAGATTTTACAGATTAACCCTGCTAACAGCAAACTGCTCGGCTGATAATGAGTCATTTAAATGAGAGTTAACTGTATGCACCAGAGCAGTGATGGATGCTTCTCCTTCTGAGGCAGGCAGATTTTCTGAGGTTTGCTGAACTGGAAAAATCATGCTGGCTTTACATTTCTGATTAGTTGGCATAAGGAGAAACAGTCCTCCCCAAGCATGAAATAACTGCTGGGGGCATCCAAAAATTTGACTGGAAAAATGCCATAAATGTATAAATTACTTCCATAATAGTGGATACAACGGTGAGATGCCAGGACAAGGAGCATTATCCAATGTAGTCACTTATGAAGTACATAATACCACTCAGCAGGTCCCCTCCAAACCCACCCATCTGTCCATCTGACTCCAAATGTGGGAATTGTGTGTGTGTGTGTCTGTATGTGTGTGAATAAAGACCATAGAAGCATGTCTTTACAGGGCTATAATCTGGGGCAGGAACTGGCAAACAGTGGGGACAAATCTTCCTGCCACCTGTTCCTGTAGGGCTTGTGAGATAAAATTTTATTTTAAAATGTAAAGATCATTCTTAGCTCTCAGGTCTCGCCAGATTTGACCATTAGTTTGCCCGATTTAGTGAGTACAAGCAGAGTATTGCTCTTGTCATATAAAATTACATCAATGGCGAGTACCATTTAGCCTATGCCACGGGCTCAAAAATTGAATTTCTGTCTGCATCCCAAAGAGATCATAAAAATGGGGAAAGGACCCACATGTACAAAAATATTTATAGCAGCTCTTTCTGTGGTGGCCAAGAATTGGAAACTGAGGGGATGCCCTTTCTAATTTTTCAACCATACTGACCTCTCTGTAGCACTTTGACACTGTTGACCATCCTTCCTCTACCTGGACATTCTTTCCTCCCTGAGTTTTCAAAGCACTTCTGGTTTCTCCACCTACCAGTTTGAGTACTCATCCATGTCCTGCTCCTATGTATCAGTGCACCCCAGAGCTGTATCCTAGGACCTCTTCTATGTCTAACCTCTCTCTTGATGATGTCAACCACTCCCATGAGTTCAACTATCACCTCTAAGCATATAAATCCCTTTTGCCCTTGTCCTATTGCCAGCCATGACTTGCCACACTCCGATCCTGGAATATTCCAACCATCTGCTGTCTTCACTCCTGTTCATGTGCTGCTAAATGAAGTGGGAGGAAATCACTAATCCATGCTGACTGAGTTCACTTACAAATCTGTTACCACATCTCAAGTAGTTCTATTCTACCTAATTTATCTATTATCCCATTCTTCATAGTGGCTGGTCCAAACATTTTCATCTTTTCTCAATCCCCCGACAGAGTAGTGATCAACAGGGATCAACCCTTTCTCTCCTCCTTATATGAGGACCTGCTTATATGAGGACTCTGCCTCCTACTTAACCAAAAAAACTGAGGCCATTCACCAAGAGTTCCCTCTTTTACCTTCTCATCTCACACTCCCCCAACATCATGCCCCATAATTTATCTCTTCCTTCACTCCAGTCACTGATAAGGATGTGGCCCTTTCCCAAGCCCAAATCAACCACAGCAATTCATACCTACCAACTTCTCCAACAAATTGCACATATAATCATGCTTATTCTCTAATTTTCAATTTCTCCCTTTCTACTGAGTCCTTCCCTGCTGCCCACTCCTACATCTCTCCTCCCTTTCATGAAAAAAAAACTCTTTAAAAAGTTGTCTATACTCAATGCTTCTACTTCCTCTTTTTACTTTCTTCTAAACCCTCTACAACAGGAAATCTAACCTCCTCATTCAACTGAAATTCCTCTTTCAAAAATTACCAATGGTCTCTTATCTTCAAGATCTAATTCAAATCTAATCAAAATCATTCCTCATTCTTCTTGACTTTTCTACAGCATTTACATCTATTCTTCATATCATCTCCTCCTGGATACTCGATCTTCTCTGGCTTTTCATTCTTGGTTCTCCTCCTACCTGTCTGACCACTCATTTTCAGTCTCCTTTGCTGGAAATTCACATCTATCATGACTTCTAAATATAGATGCTCTCCAAGGCTCCATCCTGAGCTTTCTTATCTTTTCTCTCTCTACTATCTCTCTTGAAGAGTTTATCATGCTCATGGATTCAACTATCATCTCTCCTTTTAATACCAGCTATATTGCTTTTGGACTCCTTTGGACCTCTCCATCATGCCTTCCTTCCCCAGGAAATTTATCATTAGGAAATCCCATTAGCCTGCAAGTTTGAATCTGTCTCCATATTCATATCTCATCAATACCCATAGCCCCTCTGATAAGAGCCTCTGACTGGAAAGCAAGGTCATGGACTCCAGGACCTCTTTTTAAGTACCCTGCTTCTGGGCTTCTCCATCATGCCCTCCATACTGGATTCTTTCTTTCCCCATTTTCCTTCCTCCCCCACTCCATTTTCCATTTTCCTTTTATATTTGTCTTCCCTTATTAGATTATAAACTCCTTGAGGGCAGGGACTTTGCTTTTATTTGTATTTATATCCCCGGTGCTTAGCACAGTGCCTGGAACAGAGTAGGCCCTTAATAAATGTTTATTAACTGAAATAAGAAGACATTCTCAGACCAATGTTAACTAGTACTAATCTAGCCTTTGAATTCTAATACCATATCACCAACTACCTAATGGATATTTTGAATTGGATTTACTATACGTATCTCAAACTCAATGGGTCTAAACTCCAGAACTCTTCCCTCAAACTGTCCTCTCTTCTGAACTTCCCTATGTCAAGGACACTACCATCTTCCTAGTTCAAACCTTAATGTCACCTTTGTGCAATACAGTGTGTGGCACTGATCCTCACTGTTCCCCCTTTAAAAAAATCTCTAGGATGGCTCTCTCACCCAACCTGCACTCAATCATACTAGAAAATTGGGGTTTCCAGGGAGAGTGGCACACTGCTATTATGGCACTCCCATTAGACTAAGAGCTACCTGAGAACAAGAACTATTTGTTTTTTGCCTTTATTTATAAAGTGCACTTAAAAATTCAGTACTTAAAACAGTGCCTAGCACATAGTAGGTGCTTAATACATGCTAGTTTACTGAATGCCACAACCCATTTTTTTAAAGATAGTGGTTAGCTCTTTCAGCAAAGCAAAAGCTCTAAGCCTAGGATTGCCCCAGCTTTTCCAGCTCTGCTTCCTTGGTTGGACTCTAAGGGTCTTTATTTCTCAGGCAGCAATTTGCAATGTAATCTCTGTAGTCTGCTTCCCAACCCTACAAGAGATATTCTCTGAACCCTAAACTCAGTTCTGGTCAGTTCCCAGAAACAAGTTTTTCTTCCTCCAATCAGCTCTTCTAGGCAGCAAAAGGCAATTCAGTCTCTGAGATCTTCCTGTAACCCAGCTCTGAGGTCTGTTCTAACCCACTCAGAAATCTGGACTTGACTAACCTTATTGCTTTAAACAGTGTCTCTTAACATGAAATGACTTGCCTCATATCAGACACATGCAAATAATATGCTAGGGAAAAAGACGTGTTGGATATCTTTACCCTGAGTAAATATGGGATGCCTTCCCATGCCACTGTGGGATGCTTTCTAGGTGTTCTTCCCACAGCTCTCCTTGTTTCTGCCTCTATTCACAAAATTATGTAATTAGAAATGTGGGTAGGCCTTATACTTAGCTAATGCCACATTCTCACTCACCGTACATATCCAATCTGTTGCAAAATGTTGTCATTTCTACCTCCACAATTCTCCACTCACATATTACTACCCTAATTGTGGTGCTCATCATCTCTTGGCTAGATTATTGCAATTATTGCAATTGCTAGATTATTGACCTCCTAATTAGAGGCGTGTCTCTCACCACTCCAACCCATTCTTCACATAGCTGCCAAAATAATTTTCCTAAAACACAAATCTCACCATACCACCTCCCCTATTCAATAAATTCTAGTGACTCCCTATTGCTGTAAGAACAAATATAAAGTTTGTTTGTTTGGCTTTGAAAGCTCTTTCCTGATCCCTGATAAAATGTCTTCTGACATTTTATTTTCCCTCTACACTCTCTGCAATCCAGAGTGTTGGCTTACCCAGTTTTCTTGGCTCACAACATTCCATCACCCATCTCCATCCATGCCTTTGAGTCACTGGCTCTTCCCTGTGCCTGCAATTCTCCCTCCCATCCCCTTGTCATCACCTCTTAGAATCTCTAGCTTCTTTCAAGACTCAGCACAAATGCAGTCTTCCACAGAAGGCCTTTCCTGATCTTCCCCCCTTCTCCCAGATAATAGAGCTTCCCCTTTGGGGTTAACTTTCATCTACTCTGTATGTACTTTGTATGTACCTAATTATTTATGTGTTGTCTTTCCTGCTCGAATGCAAGCTTCTTGTGGGCAGAGACTGCTTTTGCCTTTTTTTTAATTCCCATCACTTAGTCCAGTGACTGCCACCTAGTAAATATTCAGTGGTTGATGACTCTCTAATTTAGGTATTCGGCTCTGGTCTCCTTCCTGAACTCCAGGCTTATAGTTCCAATTATCAGTTGGACCTTTAAATTGGATACCCCATAAACATCTCAAACTCAAAATATCCAAAACAGAATTCATTATCTTTCTCCCCAAACCTACCCTTTTTCCTGATTTCCCCATTTCTAAAGGCACAATAATCCTTCAAATCTCCCAGGTTCACGACATCAACTTCTCTTCCATTCTTAACTTTCTCTCACCCCTCATATTAGTTGCTGGTGTTGTTTGTACCTCGACAATATCTCACCAGAACCTGTGTTCTCTCCACTGGCATCATCATGCTCAACCTGGTTCAAGCTCTTCTTACTTTCTTCCCAGATTATTGAAACAGATTTCTACTCATTCTCCCTGTTTTGAATCTCTTTCCTCTTCAATCCATCCCTCAAAAGACAAATTGATATCTCTAAAGCACAGGTCTAACCATGTTATTAATCTGTTCAAAAAGCTCCAGTAGCTCCTTCTTGCCTTTAGGATAAAATGCAAATTCCTCAGTTCACATTTAAAGCCCTTCACAATCTGGCTTTGACCTACTTTTCCAAGTTTACTCCATGTTCCTTTCCCCCATGCACTTTGCAACTGAGATAAATAAGCCCACTTAGTGCTCCCCATATACAGCATTCTGTCTTCTGCCTCCACAGCTTTGCACAGGCAGCCATTCATGCCTGGAATGCACTCCCTCCTTGCCTCAGCATCATAGAGTTGCTAGTTTTTTTCAAGCCTCAGGTCAAATGCCAATTCCTATGTAAGTCTCCCCCTGATCTCATCAGGTGCTACTGCCCTCCACTCCGGAAATTACTTTGTATATAATCTGTATTTACTTATATATGTACATGTATGTCTACCCCGACCCTGTCAATTCTACACCAGGAATTCTCCACACTGATTAAAAAAAAATTATAGGTCCAAACAAAAACAAAAACACAGGAATCAGAGATCAAAAGCAATTTCAAGTTCTAAGGTCACTTGAAAATTCATAAGAATTCTACTAGACATCCTTCCTAGCCTGGAAATGATAATTCATAAAATCAAAGCAAGAACAGATTATTAGGAAGGGACCAAGTATCTGACAGTATCTAATCCTCAGCTCAGTTCATGCCAAGTGAATCATGAAGAGGATTTATATTCACTCTAGGAAGGCCCTACCTCACCATCTCCATCCAAGGCTAAATACTTTCTATCAGTATACTCAAACACACTATTCCCAGAAACAAGGCTTTTCTAGGTGACTACAGTGGACCGTGGATGAACCTCACTGCCAGAAGGCAGCTACGTGGTATAGTGGATAGACAGCTGGGCCTGTAATCAAGAAGACCTGAGTTCAACTAATGCACTGTTGATGGAGTTGTGAACTGATCCAACCATTTTGGAGAGCAATTTGGAACTACACCCAAAGGGCTATAAAAATGTGCACATCTTTGACCCAGAAATACCACTTCTAAGGCTGTATCCCAAAGAGATCATAGAAATGGGGAAAGGACCCATATGTACAAAAATATTTATAGCAGCTCTTTCTATGGTGGCAAATAATTGGAAATTGAGGGGATGCCCATCAGTTGGGGAATGGCTGAACAAGTTGTGGTATATGAATGTAATGGAATACTATTGTGCTATAAGAAAGGATGAGCAGGCAGACTTCAGAAAAACCTGGAAAGACTTACATGAACAGATGCTGAGTGAAGTGAGCAGAACCAGGAGAACATGGTACACAGTAACAGCCACATTGTGCGATGACCAACTTTGACGGACTTGGCTTTTCTTAGCAATGCAAGGATTTAAGACAACTCCAACTCCTGATGGAAAACGTTATCCACATCCAGAGAAAGAACTTTGGAGTCTGAATGCAGATGGAAATATACTACTTTCTCTTCCTTTTTTTGTTGTTGTTTTGTTTTGTTTCTTCTTTCTCATGGTTCCTCCCACTGGTTCTAATTCTTCTTTGCAACATGACTAATGTGAAAATATGTTTAATAGGAATGTATATGTAGAGCCTATATCAGATTGCACACCACATTTGGGATGGGAGAGGGGAAGGAGTGAGGGGAAGAAAATTTAAAACTCAAAATCTCATGGAAGTAAATGTTGAAAACTAAAAATTAATTAATTTTTAAAACTTATATAAAACCCTTTAAAAAAAAAAGAAGACTCAGGTCTTCAACTCCAGCTTCAGGCACTTACTAGCTATGTGATCCTCGGGAAAGTCACTTCATCTCTGTTTGCCTCCATTTCCTCAACTATGAAATAGAGATAATAATAGCCCTACCTCTCAGGGTTGTTATAAAAATCAAATGAAATAATGTTTTAAAGTACTTAGCAGAGTGCTCAATAAATGTTTATTTCTACCCTCTGCCCATCTGAATCCACAATCCTATGGCTAGAGTAGTGTTTAGGGTTGAATACCAAACCAAATTACTCTGTAGAACTCTTACTATCTGCCAGTCAGTACAATTTTTTGTCTTATACTCGACTTTGAAGCATAGTCCCAGGTTTGGTCACATCCTAGGAAGCCAATCAGTGGTTCCTGCCAGAGCAGAAAGCATTAAGCTGTGAATATGAAATTGTGCATGTGTGTGTGTGTGTGTGTGTGTGTGTGTGTGTGTGTGTGTGTGTGTGTGTGTGAGAGAGAGAGAGAGAGAGACAGAGACAGAGAGAGACAGAGAGAGAAAGAAAGACAAGAAGCTTGTGGACTCTATTACTTTGAGATCCCATCACTAAGCTTCCTATCTGAGACAGACTTTGCTTCAGTGTTGAAGTCTACTTGTCTGTGATAAGTCATGTCTACTTCCACAATTCCCAAGTGTGTATCTGGTTTTAACCCATTGCTCTATTATGATTTCAACTTTGAGTGATCTCTGGCTCTCAAAGCTACAAGTCTTAAAGAGAAGACTGACTAATTACTTGTTGGACATATTGAAGATGAGTCAATAGTTAGACTGGGTCACCTTGAAAGTCTGTTTTCATAGCTAAGATTCTGTGAGTTTATGATTGCTGACCTTGGACTCACTGCTTTATACTGACCTCTAGCTGCCATCCATTCCCTACATTGTGCCATCCCAGTGACTGGCTTTTATCCATTATTTCCACTGCCTCTCCCAGCACTGGTTTATATCTTTCTGGTCTACCATTGCCCACAGTTTGGTGCAACAAAGATTTTCAAATGGGATTGTGTTTTGCAAAATTCTTTTTATTTTTAAAAAAAACCCTTCAAAGGTTAGCATGATCAAAGATGACAAATGAGCCTAGAAAACACAAAGTACATATTTAAAAGATAATGAGGTATGTCAAAAACAGGCACAAAAGCCACCATTCTCAGCCCCTCATTTATAATGAGATTCATACAACCCCTGTGACAGTTCTCTTCCAATCACTGCTTAGAGAATTTTATTGGATTCCAGCCAAAGCTCTAATTGCTACACTGAAGCAAAGAAAAGATGTCCAATTTATCCCATTCGCCTCAAATGGCTGCAAAATGACTTTACCAATAGTGCATTTTTCTTACAACTTCATCATCCCTTTACCTGCAACTGCTGTTTCTCTTGAAGAAGCCAATCTCTCCTGGTGATAGAAACCTGGAGTCTCTCCTGAACTGCAGATTCTGTGAGGTTGGTCTCCATTCTAAGCTGGGGTTGGGTTTCTTCACTGCTCACCCTTAGGAGATAAAAAAGAGTAAAACTTTGTATTGGAGCAACCTTGTAAATAAATTCTGGAAATCTTAACATCAGTAAAATGTCCTTATTGGCTTATAAAATGGTCACCATGTCTTAACATTGTAATCAGGGTCACGGAAATGTGGAATATAGGTTTAGAATGGGAAGGAATCATGGAGGTCATCTACTCTAAACTCCTCATTTAACAGAAGAGGAAACTTAAGACCATAGAGGTTAAACACAGACCTTAAGAGAGAGAGGCAGGATTTGAACATAGGTGCTCTACCTCCAAAACCAGCGCTCTTTCCATAGTACCACAGTGCCTCTCAAAAATAAGATAAGATCCATAACTTGCATTTATAAAGCAATTGCTAACATCTTCCCCTTTCAGATTACACTCTAGCTACCCTGGATATTTTTGTGTATGTATTTGGTTGTTTACATGTTGTCTCATCCATTAAAGTGTGTGCTCCTTGAGATCACAGAATGTTTTTGCCATTCTTTTTATCCTCAGACTTAGCACAATGTAAAAAATAAATACTTGTTAACTGATTGATTGGCTGATTGGTTGATTGATCTAAGGCAGAGGTTCCCAAACTTATTTGGCCTACTGCCTCCTTTAAAAAAAATTACTCAGGGCCCCCATGGAAATCTACTTTCTTTACAATTTTCTTTTTAATTTACATCATTTCAAAAAAACAAAAATAAATAAATAAATAGATTTGCATCATTTCAAAAAATATATAAAATATATTCTTAATGATGCATCTTAAATTTAATAAATTATTGTAAATTTGTGGGTTTTTCCTGAATTGAAATTCTGATGATGTAATATTGTGTCATGTAACCATATAGTATCATGATTGTAAACAAGTCATTACACACACATATTCCTGCAGATTCATGCTGGATTTCCTGACGATGTGCAACAAGCTTGCCTGCCAACACTTGCTTGTTAAGACTTGTCAGCTGACTTGACCACCAATCAGTTATATCTTGCATTTTGTGTATTTATTTGGAAAATAATGTAATCACTACAACTTTAACTCTGCTACACAACAGATGGAACATGTATGAATGGTTTTTCAAAATTTTCTTCTCTTCTTTCCTTATGCTTCCACCACCCCCTTATTTTTATTCAATGCCTCTCAATTGCATCCAAGGCTACTACAGTCACCCCCCCCATTGTTCCAGCACCCCCTAGGGGGTGGTATAGCCCACTTTGGGAACCTATGAATTAAGGGTTTTGTGTTTTTTTAAGTGTGACAAATTCACAGATGTTGGATCAGGGATCAGCAGAAAAGCTCTCTTAAGGAGCTTTTAATATATTAGGAGATTTATAAGTATGTTCTTTTTAATCTCTACCACAATCCTTTGGTTTTTATTTGAAGATAAGTTCTACTTTGTTAAAATATTGGAACATGGTCTATGTGCCTAACAGTCATGAAGCCAAAGATATCTTTTAAATTAATTATACCATTTAGTAAATCACCAAGGATAGCTTAGCCTGCAATTAAATATTAAGACTTGCTATATCTCTGTGACATCTGTCAGTCTGAGGTGTAAACTCTATCTCCTAAAAATGTCAAGTTCAGCTTTCCACCTTTAGTTCATGGCCTGGCTTCTCCCACTTCATAATTTTACATGTTTGCCTGAGAAGTTCTCACAAATTTTGAAATTTACCTAAAAGAAAGATGAAGTCTTCCCTTTTTTGCTGCAAACTACCACAGAAACTTTTATTTCTCTATATCTTAGGAAGTAAAATGTACAATTCTGACCCTAAAACCAACTGCCTCTCCTAACTCCTCAATAGAAGCTTACTAAAAGCTCTTCTCTCTACCTCCATGCATTTTGTTTCTTAAAATCCTAACATGTCATCTATAATACTGTATTGCAATTTACTTGGTCTTTATAGGAAAAATAATAATAATAATCATATTCACCTTGGACCCCCAGATCAATGGACTTTTATAGAATGATAAAGCCTCATTCTATGCCCAGATCATTTTATTCATTTCTGAATGCCTTTGACCAACTCCATTTGTTATGAACACAGAGTTTAAATATTTTACATATGTCTTGTCATCTAACTTTTTCATATATCTGACTGCAAAATTAATGATAGGAAATGTCAACAATAATCAACATTCTCCTTAACAAGTCTGCAGATTTCTTTTGTTTCTCCTACACAGCCCAGTGTCAATGGAGTTCAATAGGCATGCATTGATAGATTGAGCTCCTATACCCTTCAACCTTGCCAATTTTTGCATCTGAAAAATGGAATAATAATCATCATATACCAACAAAATGGTTTACCATTTCCTTCTCCAGTAGATTAAGGCAAAAAGAGGTTAAGTGTCTTGTCTAGGGTCACATAGCTAGTAAGTATTTAAGGCCAGATTTGAACTCAGGTCTTCCTGACTCCAGGCCCAGCTTCACTGATCCACCTAGCTGTACCATGTACTATATAACCATAGCATTCCAAGAATGTAGGGGGAAAAAAGGGAGTGGGGAGCAAGTTTGAAGATAAAAGAAAAGGCTTTCATCTTGTCTTAATTATCTGTGGAAATGGAGGGTTACAGTGACACAGATGATGGTTTTGCAGGAATTCTTTGCACCAAACTTGCTTCCTATATTGCTTTGATTAGGTTAGTATTAAGATTTGTCTGGATCTCCTAAACACATACCATCTGGATAGGGCTGAGGAAGGGGAGCTTGTCTGAAATTTAAAATTAATCACAGATGATCTATGAGATAGATATTCCATGGATGGAATTGGAAACTGGCCATATCATCATGTGTCATATTCATTACATAATCCAAATGACAGCCCCCTGTGAAATGCCAGTATTCTAAAAATAGAAACAAAGCCACAGACAGTTGCTACGATCTACTCCAGGCCACAGTGTGATCTAGTAATTAAGCAAAGTCTGGTTTTGACCATGTGTCTCCTCCTTGCTCTGCCAGGTCATTCTTCAGTGTTTTCTGACTGTGTTTGCCCTATTTATGTATAATAATTCTCAACAAGTCTCCCTCATCACTGCAAATTAGTACAATTCTGCTATAAACTAATCAGTATATAAAATGATCAAATCACTGAGGGTCAAGTATTAAAACACTGGTGTATTAGAGTGGCACTCAGGCAAAGAATGTGTGTGCTGATAGAAGCTCTATGTGTATTTATTGTCTTACATGCTTCAGTGCAAATTAGGCAGACCCTATCTAAGCACTTTTGTTTAAAAAAAAAACTTTCAACTCTTCTATTTGGTCCCCTTCACAAGAAAGGAAAAACAACTTTGAAGTTAAGATAGAATCCCACCCCCATTGAAAAATTTCAGCTGTAATTGACACAGCAGCAGAATCTGTATTCTATCAATTACACTCACCATGTGACTATTATGTGTGAATATTCCCATCACATTTGAAAAAAAAAAAAGGAAATAGACAGCCATCTGTGTATCAACTATTCCAGTGCCAGACTATTAATGTGTATGTGCTTTGTGATGATTACACATCATTGCCTCCTCACCAGCCAAAGAGTATTCAGACTTTCCCAATGCTTTCGAGTGCTCTTTGCTTTGCTAAGGGGGCCACCTCCTGAAGCCTTCATAGAGAGAATCCTGATTAGTCAGTAAAGAAGACAGACTATCCATCTTCAAGCATATCTTATTACACCAAGCATTCATTAAAAAAAAAAATATGCATACACTGGTTTCTAAAAAATTTATGCACGCCACTGGGGGTTCTTTGTCAGGCACATTGGATGCCAATCATTATACTGGGGATATGAGAAGATATTCTGTGCCACAGCTAGGATCAATGAATTTTGGAGTTGAAAAGGGACTTGAAATTATTGATCCAGAGCTAGAAGGGACCTCCGAGGTCACTTAACCCAAGCCCTTCATTTTAGATAAGGAAACTGAAGCCCAGAGAGATTGACAAAAAAACTTGCCCAATTTTATGTAAAGAATAGGTATCAGGGGTTGGATGGTAAGGACACCAAAGTCAAGGCTCTTTCCACTGTACCATATGCTGCCACCTAAGAAATTGTGTATTCCACATCATTCAACTTGAAGATCAGAAAAAACAAGGCTCATATAAGTAATTATAATAAGTTCCTTTAGGGAAAGGATAATGTCATATATCTTTATCACCCAATACCTCATGACATGTTACCCTTAGTAGGTATTTAATGCACATTTTCAGAGTGAATGAACAAATTAATATACAAAAATTGCTCTTAAGTCACTTGCCCAAAATTACAAAACTGGTGGCAAAACTTAAATAAAAAATAAGTCTACTGAATCCCAGATCTGGGGTCTTTTCATTATTCACATCTGAATTGTATTTAAAATTTTTTAAATTTCATTTGTTTTAGTCTGAACTTAAAAAATAAAACAAACATTTCTATAACATAGTAGAAAAAGAAAAAAAAAGATTGCATGTGAAACTACAAATCTATTATGCACAACTTACCACTCCTTTTAAATATGTAATAAAGTTATCATGTAACTTTCTTTTTTTTCCCCTTTTTTTATCCTTCCCCCACCCTTGCCCTAGAGATGGCTACCACGAGACACAAATGTGTGTGTGCGTAATCATTTTATACACACTTGTATTTATCAATTCTTTCACTGTATGCAGATACATGTCTGAATTATTGAGCACATACGTTACACACACACATATACACATACACACACACACACACACACAACACACACCACACACACACACACACACACATATACACCCTCTCGGTACCCAGCCCAAAGACAACAAAAGCCTTCTTGGGTTACCATGTACAAATCCCAAATCCAACTGGATTCTCACATTAGTGTAACAGATTGAAATGAAAAATAAAGTGGTAACTTAGAAAGTGACAATTCTCATCCTAGCTTTACCATTAACTTTCTGAGAAAGTCACTGGGTTTCTTTGGACCTCAGTTACCATTACTATAAAGTAAATGAAAATTCTTTACTTTTAATATCCAGTTCTTTACCAGCATTGTATTTATATGCAAAAGTTTTACCTCATAAAAAGTCATTCTATCTTTTATTTTCTATTCTGTTGATCTTTTATAGGACAATAAAGGAAGAGCTAAACTTTGACTTACTCTAAATTACACATAACCTTTTTATATTAGCAATTAGTGATTAATTACTATTCCTATTTTACCATTCTAATAGTTCTATTTTTATAGAAAGCATAATTGACTAGAATAATGTCCCATATTCCCTTTGATTCAATCATCCAAGCAATGGACAAGCATTTATTAGATGTCTACTATGTGCCAGGAGCTATGACTACAAAGACAAAAGCAAAAAAAGCCCTGCCCTCAAGTAGTTTACATTCTAATAGAGGAGACAACACATATACTATCTATAGACAGATAGATATTTACATTTATATATACTTACATTTATATGTAGATATATGAAAAACACACAAAACAGATACAAGATAACCTTGTAGGGGAATATGCAGCTAGAAGGAATGCATACTTAGGAGGAACTTTTCTCCTTCTAACACGTACTCATAGTTGAAATACCATTGTCCATTTGGTGGTAACTTAGCCAAATTATAAGCATGACATCCAGGATGAAAAAGAGCTTCATACATAAGATCCTGTACCAACTCGTACTTACAAAATGGCAGGCAGTATAACAAATTATAAGCAACAACTGGAGCTTTCTTAAAATCATAGAATAGAATGTCAGATTCAGAAGGGGCCTTGGAGATTTTCTAGTCCAACTCCTTTGAAGAAACTATGAATACAAGAGGTAATATGATTTACTCAAGACCACATAGCTAGTTAATGGCAGAGACAGGACTAGAAGAATCCAGGTCTTCTGATCTTGGAGTAGAAGAGGGTTTCCATTCTATTGTCCTTCTACTTCTTAACTGTGTTAAACCCAATAGCAGAAAAAAGGCTAAAGGGGATTTGATCCCCGTTGAAATCAGCAAAGCATTTTGGGAAAGGCACCCATGCCCTGGAGATATTTTGACTTTTAGATACAAGCTTGGAAATGTTTTGATTCTCTGATAACCAGCAGCCTCTCATCACCTCCCACCTGGACTACTGCAATAGCCTCTGGTTCAATGGCTCTCTCTCAAATGCAAAATCCTCTGTTTAATTTTAAAGCCCTTCCTACTTTTTCAGTCTTCTTATACTTTATTCCCCTCTACATACTGTGATACAATGCCATGGGTTTTCTTCCTGTCTCTCACATAAGACACTCCATCTTCTAACTCCAAGCATTTTCCCTGGCTTTTCCCCATTCCTGGAACCCTTTCCCTCTTCATCTCTACCTCCTGGCTTCCCCGGCTTCCTTCAAGTCCCAACTGAAGTCTCACCTTCTGCAAGAAACTTTTCCCACTTTACCTTAATGTTAATGCCTTCCCTCTAAGACTACCCCCAATTTATCCAGGATAAATCTCATCTGTATATAATTGTTTGAATGTTGTCTCCTCCATTAATCTGTGAGCTCCAGTAAGGGCAGGCACTATTTTTTTTCCTTTCTTTGTATCTACAATACTTAGCACAGTGTCTAACACATAGTAGGCACTTAATAAATGCTTGTTAACTGAGACAAAGAGATCGATAGTAATTAATTGGTAAGGTACCTAACTGTACCTGCTTACATTTCTATATATATTGTTCTATGTTATGTATAATCCATTTAAATCATGTTTATGGCAATAGTAAAATTTCTAGCTATTAACAGTTTTATTTTCACCAAAAAAAAAAGCCATAACTGAGAAGAAAAGCATGCCACTCTCCTATCAATTGATCATGCTTATTAGACACATAAACACTATTCACCCAAGAATACTTTCAGCTGACAGACAAGAGGTAGTTCATGAAGGAAGTGGTGCTTTGGTTGGATCTTAGAGCTTCCTTCAAGCTGCCAACTTAATCTTCCAACCTGCCAAAAATAAGGATTCTAAAAGGTGGAAATGAGGGAGGAGGAGACTGCATAAAAGTAAGTATTAGGGAAGGAAATAAAGCATATGCGAAGTGTTATCCTTGCAAAGGCAAAACTGTAAAGTGATGGTAAATGTCACAAGTACCTACCCACGTGTAGCCCAGTGCAGAGTAGATTGAACTTGGGCTCCAAAATGGTCCAAAAATGAGCTAATGGATGGATGTCTTGAAGGAAGATGGAACTTTAGGGTGCTCTTTTCTTTCTCCAAGTTTTCTAATTTTTGTTTTAATTCTTCAGCTAGATACCCAAGAGAGGAAGAAAGAAAAAAATGAAAACATGAAATTCAGGATGAATCTTTCTTTTCAGTACTTCTCACTTTTTTTCGTCTAAATCTATGGCATCAGTATAAGGAACTCCCAATGCAGAAATTCCTTCCATTGATGCAGATCTGCAACTCCTCTCTCTACAATTTATAATCTTAGCGAGTTACCCATGGCACTGAGAGGTTTAGTAACTTGCCCAGGGTTATACAAGTACTATGTATCAGATACAAGATTTAAATCCAGGTTTTCCTGACTACAAGACAGGTCCTCTATCCAGTATACTACTTCTCTACCTTGCATATAGTAGGAACTTAACAAATGTTAGTTGAATTGAATGGAAACTTGCTTCTAAATGATCTTTATCCTAATGTCATGATCTACATGTTTTCTAGACCAATGGTTTTTATTTTTCCCCTTCAACTGGCCCTCACAAAGTCTCTATTCTCCTATACATACATTTGTGTGTGTGTGTGTGTGTGTGTGTGTGTGTGTGTGTGTGTGTGTGTGTGTGTGTGTAGTCTATTATTTTTATTTATATACCACTGAACTTGGTCGTTCTTAAAAGGCTACTACCATCCAAACCCTATTCAATCCAAAAAACACTTATAAAATGCCTCTTATCCTCATGGCACTGTGCTGGGTGAGAAGGAAACAAAGATGAAAAATGGCAAAGCCCTACCTTCAAGATGCTTACATTCTCCTGGGGTAGGTGTAGAGCAGGTACAGGACAAGATGGCTCCCAAACAGGTAAATATAATGCAAGTCAGAGGGTGATATGATCAAAGGAGAGAACCAGAAAACCCTCCAGAAAAATTTAAGGAGGGAGAAACTACTTTCACTTGGGGTTTAAGGCTTCATGGAAGAAATAATATCTGAGCTAAGACTTGAAGATAAGGATTCTGAAAGGTAAAACTGAGGAAGGAATTCACTTCAGGCATAGGGATACCTACTTGGATGCCCAGAAGTAAGAGGTATCATGTTAAGTTAGAGCAGGTAGGGCAGCTAGGTGGCAGAGTAGATAGAGCACTGGCCCAAGATTCAAGAGGACCTGAGTTCAAATCCAGCCTCAGACACATAACACTTATTAGCTGTGTGACCCTGGGCAAGTCACTTAACCCCATTGCCTAACCAAAAAAAAAGAAAGTTAGAGCAGGAGTTCTTAATCTTTTTTTGTGTCATAGAGCCCTTTGGTAGTCTCCAGACCACATGTCAGAATATTTTTAAGTACACAAAATAAAATTCATAGGATTACAAAGGAAACCAATTCTATTGATATACAATTATCAAAACATTTAAAATTAAGTGCACAGATACTAGGTAAAGAATCTCTGAGTTAGAAGGACAGCTAATTGTCTAGTCTGGCTGGAGGATAAGTTGAATGAAGGAAATTAACAGGAAATAAGACTGGAAAGGTAAGTTGGAACCAAAATATAGAAGGCATGAGGGCCAACAAGTAAAAATGCACAGAATGGGGAAACTGAGTGTTGTGAGCAGTAAGTTGGCCGGTATTGCCAGATCATAGAGTATATGGAGTAGAGTAAAATATAAGAAGACTGGAAAAGTAGGAAAGGACCAGAAAACAATCAGCATGATTAACAACAAAACAAAAACACATGATTATAGCAATAGATGGAGAAAACATCTTCAATAAAATATAGCACTCATTTATGTTTAAAAAAAACAATAAAAAGCATAAAAATAAAAAAGACCTTTCCTTAATGTAATCAAAAACATTTATCTAAAACTAAGAATTAGCATTATTTTTAATGGAGAAATATTAGAAGTTTTCCCAATAAACTCAAGAGTGAAGTAACAGTATATTTGCTATCAACATTATTATTTGGCAGTGTATTAGAAATGCTAGCTACAGCAATATGGGCCCCTAAAAAAGAAATTAAAGGAGTAAGCATTGGCAAGAAGAAGACAAATTTATATCTATATGCTGACAATATTTCATTCAAAACATTCTAGATAATTACCCCAAAAATTAATCAAGACAATAAGTTCAGTACTACAGCAGGATACAAAATAAATCCATAAAAATCATCTTACTACAAAAAAAAAAAACAAGAAAAGGAGATGAAAAGAGAAATCTCATTTAAAACAATTAAAGGCATTAAATATTTTGGACATAACCTACCAAGAGACAGAAAACTTATGTAAGTACAATTTAAAACAATTTTCAGAGAAATAAAGGCAAATCTCAATAAGTAGAGGTCATCAAAATGCACGGATAGTCATTCAATGTACTAAAAATGGAAATATTTTCCAAATTAATTTACAGGATAGGAACAAACAATTTTCAAAAGAACTGCAAACTATTAGTAACCATAAGAAAGAATGCACCAAATCCTAATAAAAGAAATGCAAATCCAAATAGATCCGCCTCATACTCAGCAAATTAGCAAAGATGACAAAAGATGGGAAGTCAATTGTAGAAGGATTGTGGCACATTGATGCATTATTGGCGGAAGTGTAAATTAGTACAACCATTCTGGAAAGAAATTTGTAATTATGTAAAGATCTGGTACTGCTAAACCTAAATTACTGCTAATATAAGGTGGTAATTATTAAAACTATCTGATATGGGATAAGAAATAGAAAGGTAGACAATGGAATAGAGTAGATATACAATTATAGCAGCAAATAAACATCATAACCTTGTATTTGACAGATGTAAAGACTTAAGATTTTGGGATAAGAATTCATCATTTGGTTAAAAAAAAACACATTGGAAAAAGAAGAAAACAGTATGGCAGAAACTGGGCATGGACCAATACCTTATACCATTTACCAAGATAAAGCCAAAATGGACACATGGCCTAGATATAAAGAGATTTTACAAGAAAATTAGGGAAAAAAAAGGAATGTATTATTTATTAGACTTAAGAATAGCTAGAAAGAAAGATTAGATAGATGGATGGATAGATGGATAGACAGATGGGTAGATAGATGGATAGATGAATAGACAGATGGGTAGATGGTGAACAATTGATGAATAAACAAGAGATAGAGAACAAAATTAGGTGTAATATGGATAATTTCAATTAAGTTGAAGTTTTTGCACAAATAAAATTAATATAGCCAAGATAAGAAGGAAAGCAGAAAATTGGAGAAAATATTTTAATGATAGTTTATCAGATAAAGGTTTTATATCTAAAATACATAGAGAAATTTGTCAAATACATAAGAATACGAGTCATTCACCAATTGATAAATGGTCAAAGGATATGAACAGGCAATTTTCCAATAAAGAAGTCAAAATTATTTGTATTCATATAAAAATGCTCTAAATCATTATTGATTAAGGGGCAGCTAGGCAGTGCAGTGAATAGAGAACCTGCCCTGGAGTCAGAAGGACCTGAGTTCAAATCCGGCCTCAGACACTTGACACTTACTAGCTGTGTTACCCTGGGCAAGTCACTTAACCCCAATTGCCTTGCAAAAAAAAAACTCATCATTGATTAAAGCAATGAAGATTCAAACAACCCTGACATATCATTTTATACCTACCAGACTGGCTAAAATGATATAAGAAGAAAATGACAAATATTGGAGAGGATGTGGAAAAATTGGGGCACTAATTCATTGTTAGTAGAATTGTGAAATGATCCATTCATTTTGAAAAGCAATCTGGAATTATGCCCAAAGAATTATTAAACTACCTATACTCTTTGGCCCAGCAGTACCACTACTTGGTCTATTTACAAAGATGAGTGGAAAAAGGAAAAGAACTTTATGTTGCAAAATGTTTATAGCCGCTGTCAGAGTCGTGGCAAAGAACTGGAAATGCAGAGATGCCCAATTAAGGAATGGCTGAGCAAGTTGTGCTATATGATTGTGATGGAATACTACTGTCTATAAGAAATGATGAGCTCAATAATTTTAGGAAAACATGGAAAGACTTGCATAAAATACTGAAGAGCAAAATGAGCAGAACCAAGAGAATGTTTTACACAGTAACAGCAATATTATTTTAAGAACGACTTTGAGTAAATAAATTATTTTGTCTATTATAGATACTCAAATTAACTATAAAGGACATATGAAGAAAGATGCTATCTGCATCCAGAGAAAGAAGTGATAAGTAGAAGTATGTATAAAATAATTTTATATACATACATATGTGTGTATGTGTATATATGTATATATACATGCATACATACATACATACATTATATACACACACACACACACACACACACACACACACACACACACACATACCTATTTGTGTCTAATGGTAGCCATCTCTAGGGTGGGGGGAGAGGGTAGTGAAGAAAAAAATTTGCAAGATAATTTTTTTGCATATTTGAAAGGAATGGCAAGTTGTGCATAGTAGATTTGCAGTTTCATGTACAATCATCTTTTTTTATTGTATTATATTATGGAAAAGCTTGTTTTATTAGACAAATTGAAAATTGAATTTTTTAAAAGTAATCATGTAAAGAAATAAACTAAAATACTCATATCCTTTTTACCCATCGACAAAGAAAGGTCCCATATATACTATCAACCAAAAACAATATCACAAATCCATGAAACATGCATTGCAACTGAATTTATTACAAGAGAAAGGCACATTCATGTGAGAACTCCTTATACCAAGGAGCCTAGTGGTTCAGGGAAAACCTTGGTATTTAAGTAACAGGGAAAAGGAAAACTCATAGAAGGGGGGGAAAGGACTAATCCCTTCCCAAGGCAAAGAGAAAGGTGATGACAAAAGCTCTAGGAACTTCTAGACCATGGAGATGAGATGGTCTGCTTATCTACAAGGGTCTAAGCTGCACAAACAGTGTCTCAGTCTGGTGCAGACTGACTGGTACCTGTCTTGACTCCCAAGGACATACAAGCAGTCCAGACCGGGGCACAAACAACATATTATGTCAGCTCAGGGTGCAGAGGTGGTAGAGGGAACAGGCTTCATCCTTGACATGTTCAGAGCCTCTTGTATACTCTGGTCCAGTGTTTCTGCAAATATGACAACTCAAAAAGATAAGTTCAGGGGACCCTTTAATATTACTAAAATAGAAGTCTTTTTTGTAGTAGCAAAGAACCTGAAACAAAATAGATGTCCATTTCTTGGGGAGCAACTAAATAAATTGACATTCATGCATGTAATGGAATATTACTGTGCTCTAACTGTAGTAGAAGTTTAGTAGTCACTGGAGCACAGCAGCCAGCTTGAGACATCATTGAGTTCCAGGGTATATTCACACTCCTGCCATTATTTCATCCCCCTTTTCTTTCCTTCCTTTCTTCTTTCCTTCCTTCCTTCCGAAGGTCCTTAGAAGAAATTAGGAATGGAGGTTTCTATCCCCACTTCCAATTAATATTATCACAGTAGATCTGGAAATCTCAATTGAATTGATCAATCAATCAAAAGTAAATTAGGTATAATGACTCCCTTAATCAATTTGAAAGGATCATAGGGGCTTTGGGGCATTGGATGAAATTAGATGACACTATGACAAAAATATCTTGTGGCTGGTTGAAAAGAAAATTAGACATACTTTTGGACCTATGTACAATACAGTGAGCCAGTTTGGATTCACACATTCCAATAACAGGTCAGTCAAGTGGTGATCTAATCCAGAGGTTAAAAATCCTAAAAAGAAATTGTCCTTGGAGGAAAAATTGAGTTCTCTCTCTCCCTTTTCCCCCACCCCCACTGACTAGGTAATAACTTGGTAAATTTTGATAGATTGAAAGATCTAGAATTTCTATTAGCATTGTTACCAGTGTCTGTCCACCAGAGCAGCGGTAGCTGACAACAGCATCTACATTGGAAGCTAAGAGGCAAACAAAAGTTAAACTAGATGTACTAAGGAATGCTAGCTGCAATACTATTCAAAGGCATTGACACTCAGAGTGTAGCAGAGAGCTTAAGGGTTACTTCATTAACACTCCACAAGACAGAAAAGGACTTCAACAATGAGGAGTTCTGGGTTTATCTTTGGCCATGTGTGCTTTCTAAGCCCACTCCTCCATAAAGTCTTACTCAAATATCTCATCACAACCTGATGCCAGTAACAGTGGAAAGCAGACATATAAGGAGATAATATATAGTAGGAAGTAAT